TAAGTGAGCACATTAGCTGTAAATTCTGGGATCCTCCCCTGGTAAACCTTTTCTTGGACCTTAGAATGCTTAATGGGGATAGAACAAATTGACAACAAAAGATATGGGTTTTGGGAAGGAAAGATTTTCTGCTATGCACTCAGTCTGTACAAGGTGACTAAAAATGGTTTTTGCTACCTCTGGCTTCTGATATGCTTGTCAGACTTGTAGAACTTTTACTTAATATCCTTAAATAGAGGACTAATGGTAGGCTTTTAATTGCATGGCTGAAAATTCCTACTGTTTGAGTAAAAGTTGATAACAATCTTATTTCCCTATATTTCCCAGAGATGCTGTCCCCCACGGGTCTTGGGGATTCCATTCTTAAATGAAACCTAAGAACTGCTTGCATCCTGTCTTTGTGAGCAAGCACAAGCCTGCACTACTGAAATCACCCAGCTTGTTGCAGCGGACTCCAGTATGTTATAAGAGGACAGAGATCCACTGGATCCACTAAAAGTCTCTTCTGTCAGTATGAGGCACACACATTCCCCGTGTAATTGGGTACCCCAGCTGTTTCTGCTCCCCAGAGTTAGTCATTCAGAACATAGCAGCAATGATGTGATGTTCTCAGAAATCTTGCTTCAAAATATGACAGCACCCCCCAACTAGTATGTATTGATGGGAACAGACGGTCTGAAGGTGCCAGGTGAGAATGGGAAGGAGGGACAGACAACTACACCCTTTTACCTTCCACCCTGAACAGGAAACGGCTGCTTTTCTCTCACTTCCCGGTCTGTATTAGTGAAGGTCTCTCCTTGATCACTGAAATACCTGTTAATACTCCTACGAATCTATTTTCCAGCAGAACGAAAGTGAAGCGATGTTCAAATCTCACTTCTCCCTTTCTGTTTCTCTATATTCATCATCACTCCCAAAGCGTGTGCCCTTCTGACCGTTCTTTTTGCCCAGTGTAGTTTTACTTGAAATACAAGAAGGTGTAAAATAAGGCCTGAGGTTTCTAACGAGCTTCCCAATCCCATGAGAAAAATTACTTAATGGGATTTTGTTATAGGAAAAGAAAAGCAGAAACATTTGAAAGCACATGACGGGTGTCTGCGGCATGGGGAAGTCAGTGGGTGCATTCACAAAGGTGAAAATGTTACTGTAGGTTGGCAAAAGACAGCAGAGAAAGTACATTTTGAAATTACTTTATTTCAAGTTTGCTGTTCTTTCGTGGTATTTAAGAGGACAGGACAACCCAAAACTATATTCCACATAATCTCAATACCCAAAATAATAGGCTTAATTAGAATATGATTCTTCCTCACCATTTCTACTCACATGTACTGTGGGAAGTTTAAAATCATGGGATAGTTTGAAAAGATACAGAGAATTTCTGGACTTAAATCCAAGTCATTACATAAATCTTATTTCAGGGCTTGATGCCATATCTCTGTTTGGAGTGACATTGCTTTAAAGACACTGAACAGGGCTGGGGATTTAGCTCAGCGGCAAAAGCGCCTTCCTGGCAAGCGCAAGGTCGTGAGTTCGGTTCCCGGTACCGGAGAAAAACCAAAAAATAAATAAATAAATAAATAAATAAATAAAGACGCTGAACAGATCTGAACAAAAATGAGAATGTTAATATTATGTACAAATGTCTGAATCTCCAGTGTAGCACCCCAACATTAGCAAATAAAGTAGCACTCCAGGCCAAAGTCTGTTATATTTTCAGTCTTCATGAGCTTTGGCTTTTCTAAAGATAATGAACAGTAATACAGAGACAACAACAAAACCAGTTATTCAACTGAAACCAAAGTGATAGTTTTCTTTTTCTTGATGCAGTTTTGCTGGACAAAACTAATCTAACATATGAGTTCTGTGGGAGAGAGTACGTATTAAAATAAATTAGTAGAAACTTATTGTGTTACACCTGGATTTGTGTAATCCCTGGGTGTCAGTTAGCTGTGTTTGTTCCATCAGCTTCAAAATACCTAACGGCATTATTCATCTGGCAGGAGACATCTCTAACTCCATCCACCAGAGGACGGATATTGAGGTCTGTTACATGTGATAGGTATCTGCTGTGTAAACTGTTGTATCTCAGATCTCATCATTTCAGGAGCTTTCTAGTTTTCAGGAAAATAAGATCCTTCAGGGGAAATTCTATCTGCTTTCTTTAGAGTACTTACTGTGTTGCAAGAATGTGGAATGAGCTGGAAATTTATTTATTTCACACTGAAAAGACTGAGAAGTTGCTAAAGGTTGCTGGAAGATATACCTTTCTATTTGGTTTGCTTTCTTTGTTCTGGTTTTCATTTGGAAGAGTTTACCAGGAGATAAAGAGTTGCAAGTACATTTTATAACTAATATACGTATGTTGGGTCCGTATTTAAGAGTCAGTTGGTAAGATTTGACTTCACGACACGTGAGAATTCAGAGACTACTTAGCAATGTAGAGATCAGAAAACACAGCAGAGAAAATGGGGGTTAAGTAGACTGACCTCTTTCCCATCTCACTACTCCTGAATATGGTGTGGATTATCACTTCCTGTTTTTATACAAGGGTCAGTTAATAGTTTATGACCCAAAAGAAGTTTGGACTAATATGTCCTGTTGGAATCATATACATTATAGCTGAAAACCATTAATACAACATTTTAAAGAAAGCTGCTGAGGACATATCAGTGACATATGGCTTCATGAACTCAATATCAATAGGACTAACTGCATTGATTGGACACCACCACACATCAGCAGCATGTTGGTGCCTTAGGGTGTTCTCATTTTGTGTCACTGAATTAAAGAAGGCAGCAGTAAATTGTGTCAATACCACTAGTTAAATTCTGGCAAGTCTTTTTTTTAAACTCTAGGCACCTTACCTTTCTGAAGTAATTATGAAAATCTAACTAGATAGAAAGAAATTCATTATTTAATGTTCCCTTAAATTTTTTGAATGTCTCTTCTGGAAAGGTTTTATAACTAATGTAATATATATTTATTAAAAAATAAATAGGAATAAAATGTACCACAGATTATCTCCATGACAAAAAGAAATAAGTAACTAAGAAACTTGTGATGTTATCCTTGAATGTGATGATGTGATAAGGCTTTTTTTGTTTTGTTTTGTTTGTTTTTGTTTTTGGGGTTTTTTTTTGTTTTTTTTTTTTTTGGTACCGGGAATCAAACTCACCGCCTCACGCTTGCTGGGCAGGCGCTGTGCCGTTGAGCTATATCTCCAGCCCGATAAGGCTTATTTTATCATAACTCATTAGAATTTATTTACTCAAATGACCATGCCCCTTAAGTGTTATAAGAGAGTGTATTTATTTGCATGTAATTGTAGAATACTTGATAAAGCATTAGGTACCATTTAATTTTCCTCCTCTTTTCAAACACTTAAACTCAAATAAAACCTAAAATTGAGATGTTCTTGTGTCAGTACCATGGCTTTAAGTGTTTTTGAAATGCTTCAAAAGAGTAAATCTCAGGCCACTAAAAGAAAAGCTCTTTCATTAACACCCCATTTTTAGACTCAAAGAGTTCTTAGACAACTTAATTACCTTTTCTAGTTTTCTAAGATACATGCATATGGCTCTTGAGGGATCAAATCAATTAAAGTGGTTGTAAAATGTCAAAATTTGATATTGCTTGATACATTTGAATTTTTAAAGAAAATTTAAAGACATGAACATTTTGTTACCTGGGAAATCATTGGGATAAACTAAAGCAATAAAAATCCAGCCCTCCCAGGTGACTGGTGGACAGATAATGAATAGTGAGCACCTCAGTTCTGTTTGTTTAAAAGTCAATCACATTAACATAAATTTATATTATTATAGGAGTTAGGCTCCAGGAATTCTTCCCACTAAGTTAAACCCTCAAACCTTTTAAAAAATTTTTAATTTCAGACAGGGTCTCACTAAATTGCCCAGGCTGGCCTTAAATTTTAGAGCCACCTGCTCAGCCCCCCAAGTATCTGGGGTTAAATGTGTGGGTCATCATGCCCAGCTAGGATCCAGGACTTTACTGAGCTAAGACTACATTCAGAGAGCCCTCTAATCATTAAACAAAAAGAATAAGGTGTTTCTAGTCCCTATCTTCATAAATTGTGGGTAGGTCCTGCCTCTTTCTTCTGAATCCCACTGCAGTGCCTGTCCTGGGTAGACCTGCAGCTGTTGACCTTTCCTCAGCTGCTGCCTTCCATACAGGAACCAGATCATGTGGACAAATGAGAGAAATTAGAAAATCTAGTGCTAGCTTTGGGAAAACTGTGAATCTCTCTGTCTTTATAAGACTTACAAAAACAATGTGTTGATGTGCAAATAGGTTTTATCAGGTGACCTTCCAATTCTCTTTTAGTACAATTGCTTGCTCAGAGAAGTTCTTCCAGGTCAGTGATTCTGTTCAAATTCTTTGCTTCTCTAATTTCCATTTTTTTTTTTTTTTACTTTTTTTGTATAAAAATTAAAGGGTTATTTGTATTGTTAGTACCAGCCCATTGTATGAATCCACTGGTAGAGATTGTTCAAATATTGCTATGGGCAAATTCAAGAAAAATCAGTAGAATCAGAAATAATATACTTACCTTATAGCATTTTTATAACATGGTATGGTTTTCAGAGTGCCTTCTTTCAATTATTCTGGGACTCTGTCTTCTTAGAGGATTAGTTTACCTTCAGCCTCCCTTTCCTTTTGGACTCTACTGCTGCTCCTCCTTGGGGATCCAAGACAGCAAGAGAAATGAGAAAAATCCAAGAGAAATGTTGTCATTAAATCAAGAAACACTGGCCATCTTTTAGTGGCAAAGTATTTAAAGGTATAGATTAAAGAGTTAAGAGAAAGAGTGGATTTCTGACATTGTCTATCTTTCCTGATATAAGCACACTGATCACTGCATAAGACCTCTGTGTGTGACACCCTTCATTTTGAATACAATAAGTATTGCCATTACTAAGACCAGTTTATTTCTACTCTGTAGCTAAGTATTCCCTTTTCTTTTCCCTTTCTCCCTTCAGTAAATGCTATGAAAGAGCTCCCTCAGGCAAAGAACTATGAAGTTGTTTATCCAGTAAGACTTCATCCACTACATAAAAGAGAAGCCAAAGAACCAGAAAAACAGGTATAGTTTCTGATTTATCAAAGAATTCTGAGTTGGAATAAATGTGTAAATAATATATATCTCATGTACATGTTGTTTTGGCTTATATCTGGATGTCACCCCCAAAAACCTCATGCACTCCCATGGGTGCGGCTTCTGGGAGTGACTGAATCATGTGCTTGTAATCCTGGACCATGGGTGTGTGATACTGGATTAGTCTAAAGATTGGTTTAGCATTATTCTGGGTGTGAAAGGTAAATTTACTAAAAAGGGAACACCCACCCCTGAATGTGGGTGGAGCCAGCCAATAGGCTTGCAGCCTTGGTGGAATGAAAAAGGAAAGAAGGAAGTCTTCTTGCTTCCTGCCTGCCATGCTGTGGACTGTTTTTCCTTTGCCATGCTGCTTGACCTTGGAGCCAGCTGACTATGGACTGAAACTTCTACAAATTGTGACCTAAAATAAACCTTTCCTCCTTTAACTTGTGCATGTCTGGTATATTGTCCCATTAATGAGAAAGTAACTAAGAAATATATATATATATATATATATATATATATATATATATATCCTACACAAATCTGATGTGTCGCATACTTTGACTTTTCAAATGTTATGTCTCAGACTTAAACAATAATATGGATAATATTTGTGTTTGGCATTTGACCTTTTAATCTTCCTTATAATCTAAAGTTCCACCCTTACGTTTATTTTACAAACCAAGGTTCTGAGAAATAAAATAAACTGACCCAGTTATCCCAGTGTATGAACTTTAATATAATATGAGTATTTATTCTGAACACTTCCTAAAATTATATAATTATATATAACTTATTTTATCTGTGTAGTATCTATCTATCTATCTATCTATCTATCTATCCATACCCATATAACTATGGCCATTCAAAAACAGAAAAAAAATAAAATGTTGCAAGTGAATGTATGCTTACATACTAACCTGAAATTTATCTTTTCTAAATTGGCAGCATTAAAATAATTTGTATAATTCTTAACAACTTAATGAAACTATACATTCTCAGCCAATATTCCCTGAGCAAACTTACTAGTTGCAAGGGGAGAGCTTTAAAAATGTCCCTTTTAACAACAATGTTGTAATTACTTACATTCTGAAGTCATTTGTTGAAAGCAGAGAAGATACACACAATTGAGACATATCTTATAAATTTACAGAAATATTGTAAAATGCAACCTCCCAGGAGCACACATTCCACTATGGACAAGGTTCTTTACAATATTTCTTCCAAAGCACATGTATAATAGCAGAACCCAAAGTAGACACTGTTTCTCAAAATAACTATCAAGAAAATATTTCTCCTGAGCTTAATGGAATTTACATGCACTAGATTCTTCTTCAATATAGCTTTCTTCAGGTGACTTGTTGTAGCCTCTTAAGATTATCATTTACCTTTTTCTGAATATTTTGAGGAAAATTTGGATACAGTTGCAGTGCTTCTCATCATGGATATTAAGTGATTTCTCCACCACTGTAAAAACAAATTTTAAAATTTTGTTTGCAAAAAATTATTTGATACTACATCATGGACCAGTCACCGGAACATGCTAGATGATCAGTATTAATTTTCCAAATGTTTGAATAGATGGATGTGATTGATGTGATGTGATTAACATTTGTTGTAGATCTATTACTTGTCTAGTTCATGACTCTCTCGAATTGCTGCATGAGCCTCAGTGCTTTTCTGATCTAGGGTGAAAGTGTATGGAATCTCCGTGCATAAACCCAGATACACAGAAACTTGACGTGCTTTCTCTTAATGTGGAATTAATAATTATATTGTTTATATCGTATGCAAACTTTGAGATTTAAAAAGTGAGGCAGGATGCAAACTCTAACTCCAATCTAGAGATTTTACTGACCTTGTCCTATGAAGTCCATCATATTATAGTTTTTATGACTAAGTTCCAAGGCTTAAATAGCTTCAGTTTTTAATAAATATGCCTATTTTTTTCACTTATCTTTCTCAATAAACCTGCTTCTCAACCTAGGCATTCTTTTCTTAACAATATACTTATTCCTACCTCTATTTCTCATGTTATGGATTTCTTGCTACTCAAAATGTTTATATTTAAAAAGTAGCCCACCTATATGTTTTGTGAGGTTAGTGTGGCCTATTTTTTCATCTATTAACAGAGCCTTTCCTCAGGTCATGCTTCAGTCATGTCAGAATTACACAGTTTATCTCTGGATTTTTAAAAATGACTGATTTTAACTCGGTAGTGATGGCGTGTGCATGTGTGTGTGTTTGCGTGTGAGTGTGTGTGTATATGTGTGTGCCTATGAGAGGGAATGCAGCTTTCTCTTCTGTTTGGAAACTGTCTGGATTAATTGAAGGTGTTTTGTATATCTTTGAAATGCCCTTCCATCTCCTTTCCCCTTGTCTCCAACTTCTGTCCTGAGATATAAACATTTGTTCCATAAACACTTGTTGATTTAAAAATCTTTACAAAGAATATTAATTTTACCTTGTAAAGAATGGCTCTAAAATTCTCAGGTCCTTTATCAATTTAGTTGACAAAACTGTTCGATCTGTTCAAAGGGGAAGATGCAGATGCTTGGTATCTTATAGTCTAGTAAGCAAAGAAATGCAAATATTGCGGGACAAGGATTAAACAAATAGCAGTAGCCAAATACATATTTGTGTGTACCGTGCTCGCTTCGGCAGCACATATACATATTTGTGTGTACTTTTTAATTCACAGAAAATGTCTGTGCATTTTTACAGAAACAATTTGAACTTGAATTAAAGTATCAAATGACAGTGAATGGAAAAATTGCAGTGCTTTACTTGAAGAAAAACAAGTAAGTATTTTTAGCTCTGATATCCTCATCTGGAAGAAGTTAAGGTGTAGAAATTGTGCTAATTGAGTGTGTTACTACTTTGGGCTCTCACTAATCAGTTTCCCTTTCAGCTGATCCAAGTGAGTAATTTTTTCTACCGAAGTCATAGAACTACATTGGGTAAAACAATAATTCATCGACATTTTGATATTTTAGATTTAAAACACAGTGAAGGAGGTGAAGAAGACATACATTTTATTCTATGAGAGATAAAATGGAGAGATCCTAATGTATTTTTCTAGCACTTTAAAAATTTCCTTTACATTATTACAATTGATTATTCTAACACTGGAATATTACATTCTAAAACCATGTAGAGAAATAAACAAGATATATGCAAGGGAAATAAAACTCTAGTGCCAAATAAAAAGTTAGCAGCAAAGCTGGCCTCTCCCTGTTCCAGCACCAGTGGTTTTTCTATCCAGCAATCCACTTACCTATTTTCCTCATTTATTACATTATCCTATTGTTCCTTCATTTTCTTCATGTGGTAGATTAGAATTCAAAACATCTTCAATGCCAGAAGAGCCCTAACTCCCCAGTGCCACAGATCTCACCCAGATCTTGATCACCCTGTATCTTTTTTTTGTGTGTGTGGTTTTTTTTTTTCTGGTACCGGGAATTGAACTCATGACCTCGCGCTTGTCAGGCAGGCGCTATGCCGCTGAGCTAAATCTCCAGCTCCAATATCTTGACTATTTCTAAACTAGTTTTCCCCAAATCTGTGCTTTTAACCCCTGCATCATTCCATGCAAGCTAGCAGGATTTTCTCCAAAAAACTAGTTTATTATCTTTTGAAAATCAACAAAATAGACTGAAATGTGGACCCAGTGTGCTATAATGGAAGTTGTATATACTTTGGATTCAGGCCAATCTGAATATGATTCTTTGAAATCTTTATCCTCATATGGAAATAAGGAAAGTTATATTTATCTCATAGGACTGAATTGAATGATGCACATTACATTTCTAACACTCTGCCTGCTCTAGAGATCTTCTCACCTTGCCTCTTTTTTAAAAAAAATATTAATTATTCATACAATATGGAATCAACCTAAGTGCCTATTGATACATGAATGGATAAACTGTGGTATATGTCGATGTGAACACAGTGATATATTATTTACTTTCAAAAAAGAAAATACCACCATTTGCAATAACATGGATGGACCTGGCTGCCATTATACAGAATGAATAAGCCAAGAATACAAGCACATTGCATGATGTCATTTATGGGTAGGACCTAAAGAAGTCTAACTCACAGAAACAAAGGCTGGGGGGGTTGCTGGTGAAGAGAGGAGGATATGGGGAGGTGTGGATCAAAAGGCACAAACTTTCACTTGTAAGTGAGTCATTTCTGGATATCTACTGTGGAGCATAGTGTTTGTGGTTAGTAATAATGTATTTTATACTTGAAATTTATTGCTAGAGTAAGTCTTAAGTATTCTCAACACATACAAACAAATATGAGGTGGCAGATATGCTAACTAGCTTGGTTGTGCTCATGATTTCTTTTTTTAATTTTTTTCCTGTACCGGGAATCGAACTCACGACCTCACACTTGCCAGGCAGGCGCTGTGCCCCTGAGCTAAATCCCCAGCCTGCTGTGCTCATGATTTCATAATGAATTTGTATATCAAAACATCACATCATACAACTTAAATATCTTCAATTTTAACTTGTCGTGAATACCTCATATACACATGCACACAGACACATACACATACACACACACAGACCGTCACCTTTCCACATCCTCAAAGGATTGGTTCCAATACACTCCAAGGCTACTAAATCTTCAAATGCTAAATCCCTTTTATAAAATTGCATAGTATTTGCATAGAACCTATTCTCATCCTTCTGTATATTTTAAATCATCTCTAGATTGCTTATTATGCCTAACAGAATGAAATGCTCTGTAAATAGTTGTTATTTTGTATTATTTAAGGAATACTGACACCAAAACATCTGTATGTAATCAATTCAGATGCAGTATTTTTTTTGCAAATATTTTCCAGCTCAGATTGGTTGTAAACTAGAATGTGGAGGCCATGAAGATGGGTGGTTGTCTGTATACACACATCCAAGCTACTATTTTTGGTCAGTAACGGAAAGAATTTTAAGAGACTTAATGAAAGTGCCAGAAGGACCCTCTCTATCCAGTTTGAGTCTGTTCCCAATGAGCTCTGCTCCAAAGTCACTGGGAATGAGAAGGACTTGGGGAAAGTGTAGTTATCCCAGAGTGGTTAGAAGCGTTTGTTGGTCACAAACTTCATTTTTATCAACGTTGAGATTCTCAGTTCTGCATCTTCCTAAAGTCCCTCCTCAGATAAGCCCGCAAAGTCCCATGAGAAAGCAGGCTCTTTCCACCCTGCTCAGAAATGTCCCTGCCCTGTTTGTCTTTCCAAGTTAAGCAGTCTTTTTGAGACAGGGTCTCGCTATGCGGTTCAGGCTGGCCTTCAGCTCACTTTGTAGCCCAGGCTGGTCTCGAACTCACAGTGATCCTCCTGCCTCAGCCTCCCGAGTGCTGGGATTACAGGCATGCGCCATCACGCCTGGCAAGCAGCCTTTTTGTACTTGCACTTGTCTTGAGCAGTCCAAAGTAGGGGTTGGCAAATTATAACTTCTCTTTACACCCTGAAAGAGCTCATTTTGATCAACAGGCTTCACTATTAGTGCAAGTAACGCTATTCTTTTTTTTTTCCTTTCTTCAGGAACCTTGTTGCTTCAAACTACACGGAAACATACTATAAACCCTCTGGAGAAGAAGTCAGCACGAGCCCACAAATCATGGTATAACAGGCTCCCAGATTCCTTGTTAATGGGACCATGACCCACAGATCTAGCACAGTGTCCTTGCCAGGCAGATAGAAAGGAAAGAACATCTGCAGCCTTGAGATTTTTTTTTTAATCAGCAATAATAACTTAACTGATCTTCTCACTGTCTCACATTTTATTCAGCAAAAATGCATTCCTTGACAACCCTAGTAACCTTTTCCATATTTCATGGTAGGTGGGCAGAAGGAGCATGCTTTT